AAGTCACAGTCTGGCCTCCCTCTAAGGGAGGCGACCAGGCCGATCAGGGGAAGGTGATGCCCCCATCACACTGCTGCTGCTTCTGCCACTGCCAGTCGGTCGCAGCAGCAGCAGCCACCATCCGCAGCTTGCCTGAGTCTTGGCCGCCTCTGCCCCGGCCCCGCCACTGTAGCTTTGTCCAGAAGGACATCCAGAAGGTCTCCCAATCTAATTAGCATATTACCCTCTCATTAGTATAGATTTTTACTGATTTCAGAGAGGAAGGGAAAGGGAGAGAGAGAGAAACATCCATGATGAGAGAGCATCATGGATCCGCTGCCTCCTGCACGCCCCGCACTGGGGATGGAGCCCACAACCAGGGCCTGTGCCCTTGACCGGGAATCGAACCCTGACCTCCTGGTTCCTAGGTGGACGCTCAACCGCTGAGCCATCCTGGCCGGACAATCATGATTTTTAAAGTTTCCCCAAGGTTCACTTGTGAGCACACGGGTCAGGAAGGCAGTTAGATTGCCAGGTGTAACCTGTGTGTGTGAGCTTTCCCGTGGGGTTCTCATTAATTCAGAAGCGTGTTGAGGGGTCCCGTTGGCCAGGAGTTTGGGAACTGCGGTGCAGGGTGGTGGCGGAAGTGGGAGGAGCTGTCGCCGGCTGCAGGGTGAGCAGGAGGATGACCTGGCCGGACAGGTGAGTCCCTGGTGGTGGAGGCAGGGTACCCCCGGGGTTCTGGCTGGCGCCTCCGGGCGGGTGTGGCTGGAGTTTGACAAGGTTGGCGGGTCCGGCTGAGTGTGAGGCGGCAGGAGGGCACCCACGTGGGGGCCGCTTCCAGGGCGTCGGCTGCGAGGGCCTGGAGCCTGCAGGGCAGTGTGGGCTGGAGCTGGAACGGGGGCTCTTTGCTTTGTGGGTGTCCCCCTTGTTGGGCAGGTGCCTTCGGCGGTCGGGGACTCGGGCCCGGGGCTGGGTGAGTGTGGGTGCATGTGGCCGTGTGTGGCGAGCTGTGCACACCACACACAGGGCCCGATGATGCCCAGGTGGTACCTCGTGTCCCTGTGGCAACAGCCCCCGGGCCTCCTGCCCCCACGGCATCGAGGCCTCCGCAGGGCACCGCCGGGAAAGGGACCAGGACCGGTGAGCACAGGGCGAGGCCTGGCTGGGGGCTCAGGTGGTTGGCCATCACCCTGTCCACCAGGGTTGCAGGTTCGATTCCCGGTCAGGGCACACCCCTAGTTGGGGTGTGTACCGGAGGAAGCCGTGCGATGTTATGTTTCTCTCCCTCTCCCTTCCTGTCTCTCTAAAATCAATAAAAACATCCTAGCCGCAGCCGGCGTGGCTCCGTGGTTGAGCGTCGACCTGGGAACCAGGAGGTCAGGGTTCGATTCCCGGTCGGGGCACAGGCCCGGGTTGTGGGCTTCATCCCCAGTGGGGGGCGTGCAGGAGGCAGCCGATCCGTGATTCTCTCTCATCATGGATGCTTCTGTCTCTCCCTCTCCCTTCCTCTCTGAAATCAATAAAAATATAGGGTGTCCCAAAATTCACGCAAGATTTGGATTCTGCGTGAGCAGTAACAACAACAAACAAAAGCCTGATTGGACTCGGTTGATCGAATCAGATTCTCATATCTGTTGCCCTTGGATGTCAATCCCTTCCATTGGATGAGCATCACCAAGGACCAATGACGGCCCAGGAGCAGGGACAAGGAAGACCCATGAAGACCGCGGCTCTGCGTCTGTGCCAGCAAAGCCGGGGAGGCCATGGACCCGATGTGTTATTCTGTACATAACCCGATACTGTATACAGTGGGGCCTTGACTGATGAGTTTAATTCGTTCCGTGACGGAGCTCGTAACTCAAATCACTCGCACATCAAATCAACAGTGAGCGAGTGAGACACGTGATGCTGGGCTGATGTGGCAGCGTTCACGGTGACGTGCGCGGCGCCCACTAGCGGTGGGGTGTCTGAAGCTGCTCGTAACCCGAATTTCAGCTCGCAACTCAAAGCCAAAAATCGGCCGCATCTCGAAAAACTCGTTATTCGGGACACTCGTCAGTCAAGGCCCCACTGTACTTTATGAATCAATAAAAAATTTACCATTTTTAATTATAAACCTATGCTTTCTATCAAAATCACTTCCTGCGTGAATTCTGGGACACCCTATATATTTAAAAAAATAAAAGTAGGCAGAGGCCGCCAGGCTTCCCAGGGCCTGGCCTCAGGGTGCCCAGAACATCACCCACAACAGTAATAACAATAACACAGCACGGCCATCGCCGGGGTTCATTTTGTTGGTTTGTGTTCTGGTCCCAACGCCTACCGCCCCCATAGGGACCAAATGCCCCCCAGATCCCCCCCGGGAAGGAAGGACACCCCCAAACTCACTGTTCACCCTGAGATAGAATAGATTTATTTAGCAAGAGGTAATCAGGAAACGTACATCTTTACAAAAAACGGAAAGTTCTTTTTGTGTTTTTTTTTGTTTTGTTTTTTCTCCAAACGAGCTGGACGTGGAAAGTGTGTGTAGGATTGGAAATAGAATCCTCAGACCAGTGGGTATTGCTCACGGCAGACGTGGCCTGGGGCCGCCACAGCGCCTGCCCCCCAC